GTGGGGCGTCTGGGAGGCTGCCGGGACTGAACACAGGGATGTGGCCGGGAGGGCAGTGCTCCTCTAAGAGAGACCCTCCCCCTGCCCCGCGGGGGTTACCCTGAGAAGTCTGCGTAGGAGGACGGGCCCTCCCTGCAGCGTGCTGGCCTCCCGGGCGAGGACTCCCAGCCTCCAGAAGGGACTTTATTTTGTTGCCTACAAGCCACGCAGTCCGGTGTTTTGTTACAGCGGCGGGAACAGACTGAGACACTTAGTCTTGCTTCCAGAAGGCTCCGTGTGATCTGCCGTCACCCCTACACCTACCCGTGACCTCCTGCCACACTCCCTGCCCCCCCTTCACCCCACCTCACTCACGTTTTTGTCACACTTCAGACCCTTTTTATGTTCCTGTCTGAACGAGGCTAAACAAGCATCTGTTGTTGCCAGGAAGTCTTAGAAATCCTTTAATCCGTCTGTTTGAAAAGTTCTTTTGCTGGCTTGCTCCCTTATTTTTAAGGCTCCTGCCCAAATGCCTTTCTAAGAGAGGCCTATCCATACCCTCTTGTCAAAAATACTGCCTAGGCCCAAATTCTTGTCTTTATTAAGCATAACTTTTCTCCATAGCACTGTGTTAATTATCGTTCCTCCATGTCAGATTACCCCAAAATCTAGCAGCTTAAAACAACAAGCCCGGAACATTCCTATCAGCCGGAAATTTGCGTGGCTCAGGGTCTCAGGAAGTTGCAGTAACATGAGGACCAGGACTCAAGTCATGTGAAGGTTTGGCCGGAGAATCGCTTGGAAGATGGCTCCTTGACATGCGGATGGCAAGAGACTTGGTGGCTCACCAAGCGGACTGTTCCATAGAGCCACCTGACTGTCCTCATAACATGGCAGCCAGTTTCCCCAGAAAGAGCAAAGTGAAAGCCACTGTGTCTTTTATGACCTAGCCTTGGAAGTCACACACAGCCGTTTCTACAATGTGCTGTTACGCATGAAGGTCAGCCCTGTTTAATATGGGAGGGGACTACACAGGGGCATGAATGGGGTGTCTGAGGAACATCATGGGGGATTGGCTACCACTAGCACTGGTTGTTTGTCACTGATGTCCCAGTTTTTAACCCTTGAAGTCCCGTATCCCAGGAAACCTAACCATCCTGGGCAAACCAGACTCCTTTCATTGCTCTATGCCCAGTGCCAGAACAGTGCTGGCACATAGATTGTTCGGTATTTGAAAAGAATTTTTTTACCGCAAAAGTTGTCTGAGGGTGATTTTTATTTCAGGAAACTTGCTTTTGAGATGGGCAAAATCTTTTAAAATAGGTAAGCCCTCTGGAAAAGATACCCACTTTAAGAAATGTACCTAGTACTAGTCATCAATGGGGATAAGCAAAAACAACGTATATTTTCAAGTTTCTCTAAAAAGGAAGGCAAATATGGCTATATAAAGAAATTCTGGTTTTACTTTTTTCTTATTTTATGAGTCTTCCAGCATCTGTTCATTCTTTGTGTGCTATTTCCTCCTTGTCTCCTTCGATTCATTTTCATGACCCTTCCATGTCAGCATCTTTGAACCCTTCGAAGTTCAAAACGCTCTTTACTTTTCCTCTTCCCAGGGCCATTGTTTTTTTCCATACTTTCCAATGTACTGCTCTTCTTCTGCAGTCTCCTAGATAGCCTTCCTCTGTCTTCGTGGTCTGCACTGCAGTACGTGCAGATCATCAGACTAATTTTCCTAAGCCATTTTGCCTCATAGGTCACTGTTTATGTTCGAGAATGGTTGTCAGTTGCCCAGAGAATGCGGTTTAAAGTCCTTTGCCTGGCTTTCAGTAGCTCCCACTACCTGTCCCCCATACTACCAATCTCCAATATGTGTGTTTTTTCCACACCAACAAGCAATTCTCAGACACCGGCTGGGAGTCCTACAAGTCAGCTCAACTCTGACACTATCTACCTGGAGACAGGGCCAGATCCCACAGGTTAAGGGCTCTGTCCCACAAGACTGACCCCACTTCAGATGCCAATAGCAGGTCCAGGTTGTTACCTGTGCTTCTGACCAACTGGCTATAAGCCAGACAACCCTCTCTGGTTTGATTTATTTGCTGGAGTAGCTCACAAAACTCAGGAAACCAGTTTACTTACTAGATTACTGGTTTATTACAAAGGATATTAAAGGATACAGATGAATAGCCAGATGAAGAGATACACGGGGTGAGGTCCAGAAGGGTCCCAAACACAGGAGCTTCTGTCCCCATGGAGTTTGGGGTGCACCACCCACCTGGCACATGGATTTGTTCTGGTTCACTGACCTAAAAGGTCTCTGAACCCCATTCTTTTGAGGTTTTATGGCGGTTTCATTACATTGGCATGATTGATTAAATCTTTGGTGATTGAACTCAACCTCCAGCTCCTTTCTCCTCCCCAGAGGTGTGAGGGGGTGGGACTGAAAATCGCAACCCTCTAATCATATCGTTAGGTCCCATGGCAACCAGCTTCTCGTCCACAGGTCATCTATGGGCTTTCCAAAAGTCACTTCATTAACATAACCCAAAACACTGTTATCCTCTTTAACACTTTGTTTTTTTGTGAGCTCTGTGCCAGGAATGGACAAAGACCAAGTGTATATTTATTACGAATCACATCACATCATCCTTTAAAATACTCTACTAGTTTTAAATTAAGACTTCCCTACCCTCAAGGAGTTTCTTATAATTTGATAAGGATGGTAAGAAATACCCAACGACCACATTACAGACTGGGTCATGTACAACAAAATATAAAGGTGCAATGGGTATTTAGAATAGAGAAATCTTATCCAAGTAGATCCGAAAAGTTTTCATTAAGGAGCTGACATTTCAGATGGGTGGTGAAAGAGGGAGAAGATGGCGGACTTCATCTGCAACTGAAGGAGGGAGGTGGAAGGTAGAAGAAATACTAGGGAGGGAGGAAACTACAGGACATATTTAGGAAGAATATAAGTCTAGTTTGTGTTGAAGCATAAGATACAGGTAAAGACGAAATAAGACTAGAGAGGATTAAGGTATTGGGTAAAGGGTTGAATGCTACACTTTGTTGTTCATTCTTCATTTGGTAAACAGTAGGAACTCAAAAAGAGTTTCAGTTTATATGGGCATAAGGAATAGGAGTGGTCCTTGAGGTCCAGCAGCAGTATCTGGAATGGGTTGGAAAAACACTAGAAAGGGGCAGGTCTATAGCCAATGGCTCCTTGGTAAATGCAAGATGACTGACCAAGGGACCTTGTGTTAAACTTCTCTGCCGTATATTCAGAGTATTAAATTAATCGCTGCTGACAATGCTGTAAAAAATGTTTCTTACCAAATTAATCATTTTACTGAAGAATTTAAACTGAGACTGCCCATGTAAAAAATTTAGATTTGAAAATATTAAAATTTAGAATTTGTTTCTGGGTACTGGGACATAGCCCTTAAGATAGTTCACTTAATTGCCAAACTACTGAAGTTATGTTACACACTATAAAAGTGACAGTATCCATGAAGATGTAGTCCCTTTCCAATCCTGAAAGATGTTGGAATGTTGATTTTTGATTACTACAAAATTTAAAATAAGAGGAAATAAGCTCATCTTCAAGTCAGCTGAGATACTGGTATTGATAGACAGTCGTCTGTTGTGACAGGCTTACTACTTTTCACATACCTATATCGCAGTAGCAACTTGTTTTTGTTTTTCTTTTTTTAAGATTTTATTATTTGACAGAGAGAGAGAGACAGCGAGAGAGGGAACACAAGTAGGGGGAGTGGGAGAGGGAGAAGCAGGCTTCCCACCGAGCAGGGAGCCTGATGCTGGGTGGATGCAGGGCTCCATCCCAGGACCCTGGGACCATGACCTGAGCCGAAGGCAGACGCTTAACAACTGAGCCACCCAGCGCCCCAGCGACTTGGTTTTTAAAAGGAAAACTTAAAAGGCTTGGTTGGGATTAACTTTTGGGGGGGTAACAAAGAATATAAAACTAACATTTATTAAATGGTTTACTTCTTTGAATTCTGTGTTCGTAAAAAAAGTTAAGTAAAGAATTACGATTTTCAATAAACAATTTTAAAACATTTTACTACCTCTTGGTTTTTGGGCATCTCGATATGCAGAGTTTTCTGTGCTTAAATTAACAAAGAATTGAGATATTCTCAAAGAATTGAAAAAACCTGGTTTCACAGCATTTAAAATAGAACAGATCAGCCAGTTTCTGGATTCTTTGAAAAAAGAAAAAAATAATCTAAATAAAATAAATTCAGTCTTTAATATTTAGTAAAATTCTGCTGACCTATTTAAAATTATGATCATTTTTAATGTATTTAAAAAACAAAAAATATTAGATAATGTGACATATTGGAAAGGGAATAGGCTTTGGGGACAAACTGGCTTCCCCCCTTACTAGCTACGTGACTGTGGGTAATTGAACCCTTTCCTTCTGAAAAACGTTCTTCCTACTACTTAATTGTAGGGTCAGGAGGATTACACGATTCTAACTGTAACTGTTTTCTATGTATTAGACCAATGGTTGGCAAACTTTTCCTACAAAGGGTAAAATAGTAAATATTTTAGGCTTTATAGGCCTATGGTCTCCACAACTATTCAACTTTTTCACATAAAAGCAGCCATAGACAGCACATAAATGAGTGTGGCTGTGTTCTAACAAAACTTTCTTTACGGATGAATTTTGAATTTCATATATTTTACACATGTCATGAACTGTTCTGATTTTTTTCAACTATTTACAAGTTTTAAAAAATCATTCTTAGCTGCTATTCCATACAAAAACAGTGGCAGGCCAGATTCGGCCCTTAGGCCATAGTTTGCCAACCACAGTCTTAGACATTTAATTACACACTGCGAGGTGCAGGTGCTATAACTTAACTTCACAGATGAAGGAAACGGGAGCAGATGTTATGTGACTGACTTGGAGTCTCCCAGCCAGTGTCAGATCCATTAAAAATGGCTAGTGTAGAACCTCACACATGGTCCAGAGTCAACTAAAAAAATAGGCATTTTTGCAACAGTTTTCATCTTTTTATTCCACAGCATTTATTGGATAATGAGGCCAGTATAGTGCTAGTCCCACTGAAAGAACTTTAGAGTTTTCTTATGAGCAGTTACTTGTTGATTGACTTTGCCTTAATGTTTGAAAAGATGGCTTAGTTGAAACACAGGCAGGGGAAAAAAAAATCACTATCTTGGTTATATATAGCCTATTTTTCTCCTGAAAGACCTTCAGACACTTTTTTCCATTGAGTCTATAAACATCCCCGTGTGAGAGAATAATTAGCTTCCTAATTTTATGTTTGGGGAAATTGAAGTGATAGTTTGGGGATGTTATGTGACTTTAACATTGTATCTTAGGAGGCCATAATATTAACATCAGAACTAGAACTCATATTTATGACATCCCATCCTAACTTAAATGCTGCAGTGGAAGTAGAGGAATAATACACAAAAATATAGTTCTGAGACTTTCTAACTTCATCATGATACAAATGACCTAGGACAACAGTAGTTTAGTAAGGGATTTTCAGAATAATTTCCTATCTTATAACTAATATAGCTGGAGCAGTATAAAGAACTACATCAACCTAAATTATAAACAGAAAAGGAAAATGTTTAAGTCACTTTTTTCTTAAATATAAGAATTTGCTTAATTTGCTTCTTGCCTAAAATCAGTAGTATACTGGAATTTGCTATTTTTAAAGGAAAAAGAGTTGCACTTATTTCAAATATAAGAGATGCCTAAATATGTTGAGGATGTTTGCCAATTGCAAAGCCTTATAAATATTTGTTTTCCTAGTATTCTACTACATGGGGGGGCAGTTTTTTAAAAATCACTTTTGAAGATTTTTAGGGTAAAAAAAGCAATGATGATTCAGAATGAGAACATAAACACCGCTTTAAGCCTGGATTGACTTTCCAAAGCAAGCTTGAACTTCTTGAGCCCTGCTTTATTGTTTCAGGTCAAAATGCATGATCAATGTATGCTATTCCCACTGTCTAATTTTGCTCAGCATTTTCTACAGGAAGAGAGCAAAATGTTTTCTATACCTCCTTTACAATTAAAAAAACCCCATGTTTCACACTTTAATGAATGCATACATTCTCATGGTAAGGGATATATAGTCCCCCTCTGTACTGGATCAGCCATCGGGGTTTATTGTTACTCTATCTTAAAACCAGAAATAGGATTATATACAGTATATCCACCAACACACACACACACACACACACACACACACACACACACACACACACACCCCATCCTCAGCATCCCTGTTTGTCGGAATTGAGTACTGTTATTGCATTATGTAAATTTGTAATGACATATGTTCTCGAATAAATATTGAAGTACAATGCTACTATCCATAGAGAGCTGGTATGTCTCCTCCATATTGCTAGTAACGCATTTTTCTACCCTAACAACCTCGCCATCCCCAAACCACTTTTAATTTATAGTTTATAATATTTGATCCTTGCTTTATTGTTCCTACCACCAACTCTTGAGTTTATCCTTTTTGTAAGCTTGTCCAGTGACTTTTAACACATTCTTTAGTTACTTGGATCAACTTCTTATTTTCCCCTCAATGAAAAAAATTGAAATGACCTGTAAACTTTTTGACTTCATGGCCAAGAACATTTTTTAAAAGCAGAAGCATACACATAAAAAAAAAAAAAAAGAATCCTGGTGACAACTATTTTATAAATATGTGACTGTATTTTTCTTTATGTCCAGAAACTTGTATTGAATAGAATTCAGGTATATTCCTCCCTAACCCACACAGTTCATAGATCTAACACCAGGTTTTTGTACCAAAATGGGCAAGAAAATGAAGGCACAGGCTCACTTTGTATCAATAAAGGACATCAAACACAGTCATGAGGCACTAACGACATATTAAGCATAGTCAACTCACAAAAAGCAAGTGTTCAAAGTCCTCGATAACTTTTCTCCCTTTAAGATTTGGCAAAATCCAGTCTAGATATTTTAATACCTCAGAAAGAAAAAAATAAATAAGAGATGCTACGTTAAAACATCAGATTACCTATTGTCTTTTAGAAATATAAGGAAAGGAATAAAATGAAGGGAAGGGACCACAGATTCCCTATATTCTTGGATTATCCTTCCTTTCTGAGGGTCTCAGATGTCTGTATGCATCTGTAGAAATGCCAGCTGTACCTGAAGATTGAAGGGATTGTTGGTAGTTGGCTGACATGGTCCCTCAACACTATTAAAAGTTTGTATTACAAAAACAAAATTAGCTTGATTTCTGCTAAACCCTTTGTTAAAAGCCTAAGTCAAATTTGGTTATTTGAAGGTGATCTAAAAAGTTTAAAATAAAGGAAAAATATATTCTGGCTTCCCAGTAGAAACAGATGACATATTTAGACTTCAGGAGCAAATAAATACATCTTAAAGCCAAGCAAATTTCTCTCCTGTTGCAGACTCCATACAGACTACGAAAACAGTCACTGTTTCTCTAATGCTGATGACAGCATCACTCCTAGAACATACCAGGAACTAGCTTCACAACTTTAAGAGACGTTTTCTATGACATAACATGAAAGATGAGGGTTTAACTTAGGTCTGAGCAGGCAGAATAGACCTGCACTTTACAACATCTCTATCACAAATACATGACAATTGAACAACAAAACACAGCCCAGTCTCTGTTTACATCAAAACCACTGTCTATGTGATATATAATTACTTGCTTTCTATGGGTTAATATCACCCATTGCCAAGACCAGAGCTGGCAGTCCATGGAGCATGCCATTTACTACAGGTAAGCCTAAGTCTATAACTGCAGAAGTAACATGGAAATGTATCAGCCTATGCAGAGTAGTTAAATATATTTTTAAAATTTTTCCTAGGAAATTAATTTTGATAATATTTCCCAAGTCCTTCAACTAAAGATAACTTGATAATTTTTGTTTTTTTTTTAAATCAGAATCTACCAAAATTTTTTAACTGTTTCCAAGTATCAGTAACAAAGGAGCTGATACTCCTTGTATTCACAACTAATTGTTACTATATCAGTGAGTTACAATAAACTGTTTTTGCATGCTTGAAAAATTAATTGTAAAGAAAAAAAATAAGGAATACTTATAGGAGGATCCCAATAATTTGGTGTTTTTGCTTTAAAAACAACCTCTAATATTCATCTCTGACAACACAGTTTGTATATATATGTATATAAAGTTCATTTCCATGCTTATTACATAAAAATAACTATAGGAAATCAGTATCAGCTGATATATATCCAATTAATTCACTGCAGAAGGGAAAATAAGAAAAAAAATCTGAAGTAATCAGTAAAGCTCACAGTTCAAAAAATTTTTTTCCTTTTCTTTTTTTCTTCTTTTTTTTTTTTTTTTTTGCTTGTTTGAATTTTTTTGGTAGTTTCATCTGTGCTGTGTTGAACAAGTTGATTCCCAGACTAAGGGCCTCCGAGTAGATTTGAAAGGAAGCCCGAAGACTTCTTATTTTGCTGTGCCTCTGCTTCTTGGTCTTGTGAAAGTCCCAATTCACTCTCAATTTGATCAAGCTCTGACTGGTCAAGTAGTTCAAAGTCATCACCTTCCTCAGGGTCTGTGTCGTCGCCTGGGCTGGGGGCAGCCTGAGAAAGTGCTTGCTGCGCACCTTCCAACTGCTCTTTGATGGCTGCTGTCACTGCGGCCGCGATGGCGTCCCCAGCCAGGTTGCGCATCAAGTGAAAGGTTTGGTCACTGCTCAAAGGAAGGGTGAGACCAGCTGCCGACTGCCTCTCTCCGCTTGCTCTGAGACCGCTGTCCAACTGCTCTTTTTTTCTCCTTTGCTCAGTGGGCAAGCCAAGGCTGAATTCATCTTCATCATTTGTTCCCGTGCCGTTTTCTACCGATGGAAAATCGGAAAGGTCTCGAGAGAAAACTTCTTCGCTCGGTCGGTCAAGATCTGTGGAATGTATAACACAAGTTCATGCTTGAGCACCGCGATGAATTTGAAAGAAAAGAACTGTCTAAACGATAATCTGACTTCAATCCGAACCCTCCAGGCAAACTCGACATTCACCTAGCCTCCTGGTTCAGTTTAAATCAACTTAAGCACATACTGGACCCCTTTCAAATCTGGGACGCTACCACTCTACAAATACACAAATACCGCATGTCCCTGCTACTTTAGTTTTCCTCCTAAGTACCAAACAGTATATGTAATGGCTTAATGTTCAACCTAACGTTAGCTTGAGGCTTGACTTAACTTTTTTTTTTAAGTTTTTATTTAAATTCCAGCAAGTTAACATACAGTGTATGAATTTCAGGTATACAATATAGTGATAACGCTTCCATACAACACCCAGTGCTCATCACAAGTGCTCTCCTTAATCCCCATCACCTATTCTACCCATCCCCCACCCACCTCCCCTCTGGTGACCATAGTCTGTTCACTACTTTAAAGAGTCTGTTTCTTGGTTTGCCTCTCTCTTTTTTTCCTTTTGCTCATTTGTCTTTTTTCTTAAATTCCACATACAAATGAAATCATATGCTATTTCTCTTTCTCTGACTTATTTTGCTTAGCGTAATACTCTCTAGCTCCATCCACATCATTGCAAATGGCAAGATTTCATTCTTTTTATGGCTGAGTAATATTCCACTGTATATGTGTACTGAAGTTTAAATGTTATCGTAAACAAAAGTTTCATCCTGCCCCAGGGAGGGTTTTTACTTTAAGCCAATATGGATATGCATGATCACAAGTTAAAAAAAATACTTCAATTGGAGGTTTTCATGGATTCTGGTGTAACAAAGGGTGAGTATTATCCTGCCTCAGCATTATTCATCCATAGAGATGTGTATCTCAGCATCTGTAACCTATGTTTGTTTAAAGCAATGAATTAAAAGAAAGTATTGCTCCTTCTATCCCATATTCAACTTAAGAGCTTATGGAAACATTTGGCTTTCCCTAAATATTGCTGAAAGTGACCATGCCCTATTTGCCAAACTTGTGTTCAGAATACATACAGGAACACTTTAAGATTTGGGACATTTGAAAGCAATGTCAGGTTAGTAGGCAGACAGTGACTTTATTGTTTTTCACTTTCCATAGAAAAGTTTTCAGTACAACAGTTAACTCTTTACAACAAAGAGTTAAAGCCTTCTGTGTGGGTTGGATTATTGCTGCCCCTTTTGTTGTGTAATGCTTAAGAACAAAGGGTTTGCTATCCTTATCTTGATAATGTTGGGCTTGTACAGCTTGAGGTTTTTTGTTTTTGTTTTTTTTTTTAAGTAGACTCTAAGTCCAATGTGGGGCTTGATCTCACAACCCCATGATCAAGAGTCACATGTTCTACCAACTGAGCCACCAGGTTGCCCCATGAATATTCTAATACACTTTAAAGGTGAGGAAATTGAAGCCCACAGAAATTATGTCACCTGTTCAAAGTCACACAGGTAGCTAATGACAAAAGCAAGACTACACTTGGGTGTCCCAGTCTCCAAGCCTGTCTTTCAAACATTGCACAGCCTCCCTCCTTCCTCTAGGAAAAGAAAGTGTGTTCTTGCTTCTAAAAACACATATAAAGCAATTCATAATCTTCCATTATAACCTCATATTTTCAGTATATGGCTAAAATGACTTGAAATAATCCAATGAGGCTAGTAAATGTTAAGTTACTGCACAAGACTGTCTATTTTAAACTATATTTATCCTAATTATAAAAAAAATTTTTTTAAACTAACTTTGAAGACAAACATGAGTGGAGTCAGCTTTAGACTTGGGGAGCTGGTCCTCTGCACTTCAATCCTTTTTAATGAGGACTAGCCCTGGATGTATGGGATGAGTGTCTCTCTTCCAGTCCTTCCATTGTTGCCAAAAGTAATGGATATTTGCCACCAGACATTTCAGAAATTGTTTTCACTGTCAATTATTTATTTGTTTTCAAAAAAAAAGGCAGATTTGTATATTGACTGTCTTAGATCTTTTTCTCATACTTTTAAAAAAGTAAAAGCTTTTGAGATATGATTCATATACCATAAAATTTGCCCTTTTAAAGTGGTTTTTAATATACTCACAAAGCTTTACAACCACCAAATACCTAATTTCATCATTACAAAAAACTCATATTAATTACCACTCACCACCATTCCTCTTCCCTCAGCCCCTAGCAGCCAGTAAACTACTTTCTGTCCAAATGGATTTGCCTCTTCTGGGCGTTTCATGTAAATGGACTGATACAATAGGTGGACTTGTGTGTTTGACTTCTTTCACTCAGCATAATGTTTTCAAGGTTCATCCAAGTCATGGCATGTACCCGTACTTTGTTTTTATAGCCAAGTGGTAGTCCGCCGTAGAGATACGCCATATTTTGTGTATTCATTCAGCAGTTGACAGAGGTAAATATTTTTGCAGATACTCATAATATTAAAAAGAAGAATATGTAAAAATGTGAGCATACCATCAGAAGTGTCTGTCTGTGGAGTGTATCCTTCTGACAGGTTGAAGGTCCCATTGTCAGTCCAGGAGACCTCGGACACGTCCGTGTCAGACACAGACAGCTCTTTGGCCGCAACCGTGAGGCTAATCTGTGTTAACATAGACAGCAATGACACATTTGAAACTTCTGACAGAAATCTTTTTGAAAACTCCATACGAACCCCCAAACTATCAGAATAATAAAAACCAGATGAATCACTCTCCTTTTGAAACTGTTCAATCATCTTAGAGAAATAGGAGGAGTCCATTAGGCAAATCATTCAGCTTCAGGGCATATAAATAAATTTACAGTCAAACCGCACAGCAACAAATGGAAAACCAAACAAAAAATACCTTAGGACAAAGAGCTGAAAGGTCTAATTCACTGTCATCTTTGTGACTTTTTTCTTTATCTGCTTCTGTTGAGAAAAAATTTAGAGGCTTTCAGTGTCCTGGTCAGCTTAGACATAGTGTACTTTATCCATTCTACAGTGGTACCCTGACCCACATTCCTCAGAGTCTCCAGTGCTTCCATTTAATTAAATGTGTGCACACAACAAGCTTCACGTATCTGCAAATGTTTCAGTTCCAAGGGAATGGTCCATATCAGTGATTCTAGTAGGGACTGACCCAGCAGCAGCACCGCTGATGGGAACTTTTTAGAAATGCAAATTCTCAGGCCTTACCAACTATACCAACTAAATCAGAAACTCTGGGGTGGGGCCCAGGACTCTATGCTTTAATAATCCCTCCAGGCGACTCTGATGCTTGCTATAGTTTGAGAACCTATAAGGTCATAGGCCAAGTTAAAGAGTGAAAAACGATCACTTTGGGTTTTCCTCCGTTTTCTTTTCTTTCCCTTCTTCTCTCCATCCCCTCTCATGCGGCTCCCACACTCTTTCTTAGCCCTAGCGTGGTTTTTTATTTGCAGTTGTCCACCCCAAAATAAGACAACTGAAACAAAGGAAATCATAAATAGCAAATATAGAATTATTAAATTCTTTCCTCCTTCCCCTGACAATTTGAATTAAAAAGTGAATTTCTTACGTGTTTGAGAAAAGCATAAAAGCCTAAATAAATAGGTAAAGACTACATTACTTTGGGGGGATTAGCTTCGATATGTAATAAAAGGCCAAAAGCACTTTGAGACATATTCAAAGTGATTTCATAATAAACAGCCAGCTGACATCCCATCCCATGCATGGAATCTAAAATTCAAACTTTACCTACCAGATCTCTTACGTTTCTTCTGATTAATATATTCTCCAATTCCAAAATCTAGCTTCAGCAGAACTGACTTGATTTTGCTGTATAGTTTTTGTCCAATATCATTACACTTTAATAGGGGACACAAAAATGCACACAGCACTGAAACATAGAAAGGAAGAGCATGTCAGTAAGATGACCTTCCTTTCAAAAGGCTACCTCCGAGTATCTCACAAAAATAGTTCGGTCAGTAAGACAAATACAAGTTTTTTTCTTAGAGAAGTGCCTCTGTGAAATAAGTTCATAATTTCTATTCTTCCTCCTGTTAATGAATACATTTTCCCCTACACACACACACACACACACACACACATGCATGCATGCACACACTATGCTTACAGTCACTGTTTTCAAGGACTTGCTATTAAATCAACTTTCTCCCTTTTATTCTTTCACCCTCAACGTTGACACAAAGATTACATGCTTTCTCGACAACAGTCCTGGATTAAAATCTGCACTCTACTTATTTGTTGAATAAGCCATTTTGCTATAGGAAAGTTATTATCTATTAGCCTCTCATCAGTAATATTGGGATAATAATATTATCTCTTGCGGTTTTGTGAAGAATAAATGAAGTGAATGCAAACCATCTGAATAATGCCTGGCCTATATCAGACTATCCCCTGGCTCTCTTCTCCTTTAGTTCCTAAACAAGGCAATCAAGGGCTGATAGTCTATATGAGTTCCATCTGAGAGAGTGGATTTGTGCTTTGATCATCTGCCATGGATGTTACACATTAGGAATACAAAAAGAAATGAAGCCTGATCTAGAGAATGTACTGTATTCCCTAGTGTTTACTTCTTTGTTGTTGTTAGAAAATGTGCCCATTTACCTTTTAAATAGGAGTTGCAACCTCCAATATCACTAGAAGCCAAGGAAGCATATGTACATTTTAAAAGCTGGTGTAAGAAAAATGGGGAAATAACCAGGGTTAGTTCAGTGAAGAGTGCCTGTCCCATCTCAAGGTGGCAGCACAAGACCATATTTTTCAGGAGAAGATGGAAATCTATACTTTTTTTTTTTTTTTTACAGCACTGTGGAGTTATATTTGACATATAATAAATTGTACATATTTAAAGTGTACAATTTGATAAGTTCTGACATACGCATACAACTAAGAAACCATCACCACAATGAAGACAGTGAACATATCCATCACCCCCTAGATTTTTCCCATCTTCCTATTAATCCTTCTCTCTTGCCTTTCCCTGCCCCTACGCACCTCATCCTTAGGCAACCATTTGTGTGCTTTGCTATTAGCTAAAGATGAATTTGAATGATGTATAAATGGAATCACACAGTGTATGTTCTTTTTTACGTGGCTTTTCCCATTCAATCTAATTATTTGGAGATTTATCCAGACTGTTGCGTACATCAATTTTTTTCATGCTGAGTAGTCATTGTATGGATATACCACAGTTTGTTTACCGGTATGTCTATGGATGGACAGATAAGATCGTGTTCTGTTTTTGGTTACTACAAATAAAGTTGCTGTGAACATTTGCAGATGAGTCTTTGTGTAGATATATACTTTCATTTCCCTTGGGTAAATACCTAGCTGTGGAATAGCTGGGTCATATATAGGTTTTAAGAAACTGCTAAACGGTTATCCAAAGTGTTTTTACCGTTCTATCTACCCACCAACAGTATGTGAGAATTTCTAGTTGCTCTGTATCCTTGCTAATACTTGCTATGGTCAGTATTTTAAATTTTAGTCATTCTGGTGGGGGTGTAATGGTATGACATTGTGGTTTTAATTATTTTTTGAGCCACAGAACATACACAAGGGCAAAGGGATTAGTGTGTTTGTGGGGGATGGGAAATATAGCTTACTTATAGTTTTACTGACATAATTTAAAATCCAATCAAATCACTTGTAACCAACCCTGCCTTTTGGCAGCCGTTCCTCCAACTCTAAAATATAAACATGTCTCTAGGAAAAGGAGAAACTTTGTACAGCAGGAAATTAAAGGATAACCAATATGCTGTATAGTTAAGGACTCATCCTTCCTCTTCCAAACTATGGAAGGCCATGTTGACCATTGAATGATACCATATGCATCACATAAATTAGCCAAATGTTCTACCATACTTACACAGTAGATAGCTGAGTATAACTCCAGGAATGTAACTTCCCAAGACTGTAAAAAATGTGCACACACTGCAGACCAGGAGACAAAACTAGAGATAACAGAAACAAGATGTGACATTATCTATAACTCCAAGACATTTTCGGGCACAGGATACACAGACAATTATTTATCTATATGTGATCTATCATGTTATGGCAAATGTTTTTCAAACAGTGTTCTTTTGTATTTGGGTCTGCCTGATGACTGCTGTGTTCAGCCTGCCTTAGTCCACTCTAACACTTAGTAATAATCATTGTGAGGTTCCAGAAGCTAATTTCTGGCACAGAGAACATCTCCCATTAATCATGCCTGTGGCTATATTACTGTCAGATGCAAGAGAACTGAAGACTAGTATGTCCCCAGAAACTTCTTTTCCTTAGGATCAGTCACTGAAAATAATGCAGCCTGGTCAATAACCCTGCAAGTTCAAACTACTTCTATAGACTCATCAAAATTCATAAACACAGCAAAGCAGAAATTAGAGGCATTTATATAAATAGAATGGCAATTTGCACAGGTGATAAACTGCTGGGATGAATCCACTGGCCATTACTATCCTTCCTAACCATATCCATTCCTCAAATTGACCCCACTTCTAGGTCACTTAGGAACCAAATGGGAATGAAATGAAATTCCTACGGTGAAATGTGCTTATTTTCCTTCTGTCAGTTATGACCAAAAAAATCTTGGTTGTTTTAAGAAATTTAAACATCATGACAAAAAAATCTCCCATAAAGCCTTCACTTGTTTTCCACATCCCAGTCTTAAAAATAAACTACTTTTATTCTTTTGATTTATCTTTAAATTACGGTATTAAATTGGCAAGCAAAGAAAATTCATTAAGGGAATTTCAAAAAGACATATGAGGAAAGAATACATAACTCTGATCAGTAACTGATTAACACCGTCAGATGAAACTTGATTTCCCAATCTTCGGCACAGGGTTAATAAGTTAACTAGTCAAAAGGAGAACAGATGAATTTACAGAACAAACTTAAGAGCTGTTTCTGAAACAGCAGAGGCCCTTGAAGAATATGCAATTCGAATAGCAAAATGGAAGAGGAAGGACCATAAGCGTTGAAAGAATAAGTGTAGGAAAACATTACCATGTCCGGAATTAGATTTCACAAAGAGATTTCATATTAGCCCCTAAATCTGTAACATCATCTTAAGCCAATTGACTTGGAGTACATTAATGCAATCCAATGCAGAAGTTTTAAGTTCAGAATCTTCTAAAAATGTGTTTAATCATTTCAGTAAAATAGGCATCAAAAATGCAACTCTCCCTCTCCACCATATGGGTATCTATGCTAAGAATTACCTTTGGGGATTAAAAAAAAAAATCCACACATATACAACGTTGCCACTCTAATATTAGCTCAAAATGTGTCCAAGCACAGTTCTATTATCAATACTACTGGAGTTAAGTGATGGCCTGTACATGGTGCAACCAGAGGGATTTTCAGTGTCGACATTCCTAGGCTCTTCCAACTACAGGTGGAGGTTCAAGGAACTTGAACACAACACTGGTGATGGCTCTGCCCTTAAACCCACATTCTCACAATCACAGCTGAAGCCACCTCTACACATCCAAGTACTCCAACGGTGTGCACCGTGCAATCCCTTCCAAACCACTTGCGACCCTTCTCCTCTGGGGTTTTCATCTTAATTGGAAAAATACACATTCCATTTATATAAAGACCCTGAGTGTCTTTGCCACAGGTTTTCTTTACTAGATAGATCATATAGGAATCTTTACTTTTTAGATTGACTCTATTTATCTCCAAAAGCACCCTCAAAGGACCGTATGTTCATTTCATCTCCCTTTGACTTCGGAACCAGCCTAAGTAATAGAAACAAATTCTTTTTTTATTGAATTGTAATTGACATACAATGTTATGAGTTTTCGGTGTACAACACAGCGATTCAACATTTACATACATTTTGGATACTGACAAGTCTAGTTACTATCTGTCACCTACGTACTTAACATGATATTATTGACAACATTCCTTATGCTGTAATTTACATCCCTGTGACTTACTCACTTTTTTGAATTGAAGTGTAGTTGACCTATAATGTTATGTTAGTTTCCAGTGTACAACATAGTGATGACTTTCATAACTGGAAGTTTATACTTTTTAATCCCTTTCCCCTATTTTGCCCACTGCCCTGCCACTCTTCTTTCTGGAAACCACCCGTCTGTTCTCTGCATGTATGTGTCTGTTTTTAAACTGAGATTCTTCATAAGGTATTTTTTTTCTCCTTGGTCTGGCTGATAGCAAGACCAGTCACCATTTTTGTTAATGAGTTAGATAAACATGTATAAAATAGAAAACCCATCCAATCTTGAAATATAAGTTTGAGGATTTTCTAGTGCTAACACCCTCACATTTCTGAACCTCACTAATACCAGCTTTTATGGAATTTGCTCCTAGTATATTATATCCAGGGCTGGAGAACCCTTATAAGCTGATAAAATAGGTTAATTCATTCGTTTCCAATTTATTGCACATTCTAAAGCACACCCGGTAATTCTCCTATGCTGGAAAACTTGCCTTGCCAGGGCTCTGCTGTTTAAAAAGAGACATTTCTTGAAGAAATATGCTGAAATTCATCCATGATTCTGCAATACAGTGGCTGAACCTGGGTCTTTCATCTGGTTTGGAATTGATAACTTCCCAGCTAAAGAGAGAAAAAGAAAACAAAAAATTTTAGCTGCACTTTTGATGATTCAACATTCATTGCTTTAGCAAATATTTATTGAGCACCTGCTCTTGGCCACACTCTCTAGAAAAGCCCTGTGAATTCAGAGGTGAACAAGCCCGATACCTGCCTAATGAAGCTTGTGCCAAGAGAAGAGATACAGGCTAAGCAATTTGCTGCACAACTATCCCATTACAATTAAAGGAAGAGGGTGAAGTATAGGGTGGGGCCTTTGAGACGTCTCTGAAGAAGTTACTTTTATGCCAAAATCTGGATTAGCAGAGTCTATCAAGAGGGCTTGGAAGAGTTCCAAATAGAACAGTGTACAACATAGGCAGAGGGCCTGGAGCCAGAAGAAGCTACCAGCACTATTCTACAGAGCCCCACGTGTGGCTCCAGCAGAGGCAGAGTCAGTCAGAAGAGTAATGCTGCATGAAGCTCGGAAGGTGGGACAGGACCTAATCATACTGGGTCTGGAGGGACTTTTTAGAAATGTTTGAAACCTTAAGGATAGGGAAGCCACAGTCTTTTTAGAGAAACCTTGGCATTGATCTCCTAATCATCGTCATCAACAATGCCTTCTCAGTATATATTATAGTTCGTCAACTCAATAGAAACTGTTAAACTCAACAGGGTCTCAAAATACCTTGCATTTTTCTACTGTACCTTCCCCCACGTGTTGAATGTGATGCATTGGTCATGCATGTGCTCTGTGTCCCTGACCTCATTTTCCCACAGGAACCTTTTTCAAAAAGCTAAAAACCAGTAACCATCTCTCCAGGAAGAAGATATGCAAACACAGGGCATTCCCCTAAAATCACAATCGCGTTCAAATCCCACTCTTGCAATACTAACTCATCACAGAAATATACCAGTTAAAACAAGCTCTATCAAGGGCCACCAAATTCTTTCATTTAATAGATAATTGTTAGTGCCTACCACGTGGAAGGCACTGCCATAGAGCTAAGGATACGGCAATAAATGAATGTTTCTAGTAGAAGACAAAGATTATTAGTGAACTATCATCCGAGCTACAACTGCAAGGGAATCAGAGTAAGATGATCTCTGGATTCAAATCCAGTAGTCCTAACACAAATCAAAGCTACTTTGGCCCTTAGGTGCTCAGCTCCCCAGAGACTGTGTATATGTGGATTCTATTTTTTTTTAAGGATTTAAATATAACTTAAAATTATATTAAAAAAGGAAATTTAATTATCTAATCTATAAATTTTAATTGATTTGAGGGAGCATGTGGTGGGGGGTGTGGGGAAGGGCAAAGGGAGAGGGAGAGAGAAAATCCCAAGCAGACTCCATAAGCCTGGAGCCCGTCACGGGGCTTGACTCGGGGCTAGATCCCATGACCCTGAGATCATGACCTGAGCCGAAACCAAGTCAGATGCTTAGCCAACTGCCACCTAGGTGCCCCTATTTCTTTTTAATATACCTTGAACACTAAGACAATTTGTAGATTAGATAATATTTCCTTTTTAAATATAATTTTAAGTTATATTTAAATGAATGCAATAGCATTAAAAAAGAAAAAAAAAAAGCTGTTTCACTTTCCTTCCCCTTTATTCTGTCAGAGTCAACTAATGCTCTACCAGAGTCACTGAGTTACCAGTTCTCCAGGTTTATGCTTTCCATGAGGTAGACACTTGCCAAATGATTTCCTATCATAAGAAATGAACTTTTGGGGACGTTTAGCTGTCGGGGAGTGGTTTATGTATCCATTAACTCTACCCTTCTCTTGAATCACAGAGCAAGCCTGTTTCCATTGGTGACCAAATTTAGCACTAGCTTTGCATACCTTATGAACGATTCCAGACCTATTAAAGGAAACGCTAAGTGCATGGCTAGGAAGCCACTTTCTGTAACAAAATCTTGCCAATAGGTCTGCTTAATGGGAAAATATTCTGTACAGGAGGGCAAAGACTACAAGTGGCAAAGGAAATAATAAGATTATTAAACTGTGATTTCCTTTTTGCTTTAAAGATTTTATTTATTTATTTGAAAGAGAGAGAGAAAGAGCACACAAGTTGCGGGGGAGAGATGGAGAGAGAGAGAAGCAGACTCTCCACTGAGCAGGGAGCCCCACATGGGCTCCATCCCAGGATCCCAGGACCATGACCTGAGCCGAAGGCAGATGCTTCACCGACTGAGCCACCCAGGCGCCTTGTGGCCTCCTTTCCGAGAATAACTTATTGCAAACTGGCTAGGATAGGCTAGGCCACTGTTCCATTTACTGGGGCCACGCAGTTGACAGCAATACAGATTTTAATTTCTGTTCTCTGTGCATATTGAGTAGTATTTAAGGATTTGGTTGAACTGTCCCAGCAAATACAATTCTAGCAAAAATCAATGAAAAACATATTATGGAATGGTTTATCATTCTTTTAACGATTCAAATGGAATGAATGCCCATTTCATATTTTGAAACAAATTTAAGAGTCTTTTCATCAGGATAATTAACAGATGAAGTGAGTTGTGTTCAGGCAATGAAAGACGAAATAGCAATGGAAATGAATGAACTCCATGTTTGTATGTAAACCTTCGAATCAGAATATTGAGAGAAAAGAAAAATCAGAGAATACATACACTATGATTTTATTTATATAAAGCTCAAAGTCATGCTAAGCCAACAGACTGTTTAAGCAACGAAATGATTTAAAACAAAACAAAACAAAACAAAACAAAACAAAACACCCAAGATTTAGGAAAAGGGTTACCTAAGGCAGGGATGGTGTGGGGGTATGTAGAGAATATGGCCAGAGAGGCATGTCACAGTGAGGCCTCTTGAGTATTGGTCATGTTTTATTTCTTAACTTAGGTGATGGATACATGCAAATTGACTTATTAGTGTTCTTAAAGCTACACACACACACACACACGGCCTTTATTTAAAAATTTACTGAGGGGCGCCCGGGTGGCTCAGTCAGTTAAGCATCTGCCTTTGGCTCAGGTCATGATCCTGGGGTCCTGGGACTGAGGCCTGTGTGGGACTCCCTGCTCAGCGGGGTACCTGCTTCTCCCTCTTCCTCTGCCCCTCCCCCTGCTCATGCTCTCTCTCTCTCAAATAAATTAAATCTTTTAAAAAATTAAATAAAAAATTTCTTGATACTTAAACGTATAATCATGCTTTTTATTTCATAACAGTTTTACAAGAGTATATCTCATTTCACATTCTGTATATAAATGTTACTTAAGTTTTTGCCTCAGTTTATTTATTTGTGAACCAAACAATATTTCTGCTAGCTAGAGCCATGAAACAGTTTCTGAGTAAGCTATACCTTATAGATGCTGAAACCTTGTTCTAATACTACCTTTAGGATTCCTATCTCAGAAGTGACACAACATTTGTATACATATTTACTATTCTAGTAAGTAAATACCCTAAAATCAGAAAGGAGCCTACTCTAATACTAAATTATCTAAAATTACCTAACTTATTTCTACAGAGATAATGTCATGGTGAAGTCTTCATACAATTTAAGGTGCTTAAAACACATCACAATGAATTAACTAAAAATCTCGTTTCACATTTAAGGATCTTACCTATTTTCATCGTGGGATTCAAGTGGATATGAAGAAACCTCAGCATCCATCCATCCTTACTCATTTATTCAATAAAATGTTATCCAGTTCCCCCTTTGTGTCTCACATTATACTCAGTGTGTTTCCTAGTGTTATTTCCAACCAGCACAAACTGAATACCTGTAGCACTGTCCCTGTGTCTACAGACACCACCGCTTGGTGGGAAGAAGAAACGAGAATATTCAATTGGTGAATATTTTCCATAGTCATACAAGGACACTCTTATTTATATTAAATTCCTCCCCTTTGGAAAAGGCCCTTATGTGACAGTATCATAGGACAATAAATTTCATGGTTACTTATATTAACGCAATAACCCTAAATAAGTCTAATTGATATTTGAATTATTGTTACAGAAATGAGGAATCCATTGTGTAAAACATGAAAATATTATCTAACCAGATGGGTTTTGGAAAGAATAGTAAATATTTAAAAACATAGTAAATGTTTGAGAAAAAAAATGTATAGATTGTGCTGAGTAAAATTTAAAGGAAATATGTACAGCTAAAAAAAAAATTCAAATCAAAAGCAAAGAAGAGATCCCACTCTACACTTCAAACGAAACATGGATCTGGGGCACCTGGGTGGCTTAGTCAGTTAAGCATCAGACTCTTGGTTTCAGTTCAGGTCATGATCTCAGGGTCATGAGTTCAAGCCCCGAGACAAACCCTGCACTCAGCATGAGTCCGCTTGAGACTCTCTCCCCTTCTCTCTCTGCCCCCCTGCTCATGCTCTTGCACATGTGTGCACGCATGCTCTCTCTCTCAGATAAATGAATACATCTTTAAAAAATACATGAAACATGGATTCAGAAGAGTCACTCTCTGGGAGTTTCATTATAGTTTTAAACTGTCCAGCAAGTAATTCTGAGTCCCACTGGAACATACATTTCTACAGTCTTCCCTTGTATACAGTCTACCATTAATGTATATCATGTCATCACATTTCAATTCAGGTAACACAGGTGCATAACATATAACTGAATAACATCTAATATAGTTGTATAATTCAGACTGAAATAGGACATTTGATGTCAACTTTTCAGTCTTATTTTGTAGATGAGTAAAGTGAAACCCAAGTTTTCTGAGCTAGTTCAGGGCAGAGCCAAGACCTGAGGCCATGAGTCCTGGTTTCCAGTGATTCTCTTTGTTCAAAGCATGTGCCCTCCTCAAAGAATGGAGAAATTCAGTGACCTCCTTTGAAGAGTCTACATATAATTTACAACAAGGAAGAACATTCCACGTTCCTTCCCACTCCTTTCCAGAGTCAGGAGGATTGAGGTGTGACTGACCAGTACCAACATGGCATCAGCTAGTACCCACCCTTTCCAAGAAAAGAAAGTGCTTCGTGGGCAGAATCTAAATACTCAGCGGAAACTAAGATTCATG